CTGCAGAATGGGCGGGAGGGGACCCAGAGGCGTCGGTGTCCTGGGGAGGCACCTTCCAACAGGGATGGCAGCACCGGGGACAGCGGCGGCATTGCTGAGGAGCATGGCTGTACCTCAAGGCCTACGCCGGGTCCTTTGTCATCTCCTTCTGTGACTCTGAGGACAAGTGGGGACACAGGGTGGCTGACAGGGCCACAGTTCAACCACGACTCACCATAAAATACTGTTTCACACAGGAGTGTGCGGCTCATCCCCACAGAGGCCAGGCCAGGCATCGAGGGCTCAGACCCAGCGTGCCAGTGATGGGGGGGCTGGCTCCAGGCCACACGGAGCCTTGACTTTCCATCTCACCCGCTTCCGAGGGTGGGCGGAGCCACTGCTGGCAGCAAAGGGAACAAGTCCAGCAGGACACGGGGCCCAGTGGCAGGCGCCCTGCTGGGGCTAGTGCAGGCCAGGCCCTGCCTGCATCCCCTGCCTCGCACGCTGCCCTGGGCACTCCCTGCCTTGGTGCTTGCTGTCCCCAGGATCCAGCCCAGTGGAGGGCAGTCTCCCCATGGAGTTCCAGGGCAGGACCTAGGTGTCACTCCCTCCCCAGGGAGCACCCACTGACAGCACACCCGAGGCAGGTGGCACTGGACGCCTCAGCCCTGGCGCAGACCTGGGATCAGGAGAGCAGGGCCCAGTCATGCTGGTCACCACGGACGGGAGTCGGCCTGACCCAGCCTGTGATTTCCCCCTGCAGGGTCAGCCCTGGGAGAAGGGGCTCAGGCCCAAAGCTCCACAGCATGCACCCCAAGAGCACAGCCCACACTTTCTTGGCGCAGGTATGCCCTGTTTTGGATAGTCCAGTTTATTTCTTGCAGTGCTAGAGACTATGCCCAGGGCCTTGCGTGTGAGGGCTAGTGCTCTGCCACCGAGTACACCCATCCTGTGTGCACCTTATTTGATTTCCCAGGAAAGGGGAGGGTGTGCCTCTGTGTAAGTTCCTAAAGCACCTGCCCGCGGAGGGAACTCAGTGCACACACATGCTGAAAGGAGCGCCCAGCTCTGTACATGGAGTAGCGTCCACACGGGCTCTCTTCCTGCCTCACAGTGGACAGCCGGCCCCCCTCCCCAGCTCCAGGGGCCACAGGGTCAGGGTGCAGGTGATGGGACACAACCTCCTGCATCCTGGTGCTCGGGTGCCCAGCAGGCAGTGGCCGCAGCAGGGCTGAGCAGGCCACTTGGCCAAGACTCTAGGTAGGGGAGTCACAAGGTCACAGCAGGTCAGGCCACTTGGCCAAGACTCCAGGTAGGGGAGTCACAAGGTCAGAGCAGGGGCTCCAGTCTCCTGAAGCTTCTCCAAATCCAGCCACAAATAAAAAGTATCGTGCAGAGTAGGCCTCATGCCACCTGAGCAGAGGGCCCCTGGGCACAGCCCCGAGAGGGAGACTGGCTGAGAAGGGACACCAGAGAAGGCTTAGGGCAAGGAGGCCGTGGGCACTGGGCAAGGAGGGCCTGACAGCAGCTCCCTACAGCCTCCTGGCCGCCTCCAGCTAGGGCCAAGACTCAGAGGAGCAGACACCGCTGCTGCCTTCCTGTCCACAGGTCTCATTGCTCCACCCTCTCCACATGCCCTCTTGCCCTCTGGACAGAGCTGGAGAGGCCTGGCCACCTCAGAGTAGCCCTGGGACTGTCGGTACCTCTGGAGCCACAGACCTCCACCGTCAGGCAAACAGGCACCCACCTGTCCAAGCATGAGCCACGGGACACCATGATCACGTGGCCACACCATAGCCTGCCTGTTTGGCCATGTGGCCACATGGGTGCAAGATACAGCACAACCACCCAGGTGCCTTGGGACGGCAGGACAAGGTGACAAGTGACTGCATGACGTGTGACATGACTACAACACTGTCACATGACTGGACGTCACTGCCCACAACCTGACTCCTCGTCACCAGACTGAGATCTGTGTGACGTGGGGTCTGGCGCTCACATGCTAC